GAGGCCAAGGTCTTGGGTTCGATTCCCGGCAAACACACATAAGATCTTGAAAGCATTCTAAAGTGCTTTAGATAAAGCATGCTTGGAGTTTTTATTCAATTTTGTATATAAATAGTACATCATTTGGCTTAACGTGATTAACGAAAACAAGACATGTTCATGGATCAACATTTGCTGTTTGTGTTCTACCAAACAATCAAGGCCTTAACCCAAAATTCAGAGGGTAAATTGGTTGATGGGATGTTAATCCAGGAACATTTCCTACTTGTGTAAATCCTGTTGTTATACTGCACATTTCATATTCAGTATAGATAGATTCTGCTGAAGTATTGTGTTTTATATGCTGAAAAGCAACATAAGTCATCTCACCAGTATAATGTTCGTTGCCCTGGGCAGCACAGGTCAATAACTGGGCCATGGAGGAGCCCACAGCTTTAGACGTACTTCCCAGATCCTGAGCACACTTCTCCAACTACAGACACAAGCGTGAAGTAGTAACAGTGAGAACTACTGCTAACAAGTTGATGATCAATTTTTATGTGGTAAATTTCACCTACCGATTGTCCAGGTAGTGGTTTGAGTTGTCCTTCCAGTGTGGCCATTTTGGCATCTTGTAGTTCACTCTTGAGTGTCTGAACTGCGCTGAGAGCAGAGTCAATCTCCAGAGGACCACACGCCTCATGAGCCTATGATACAACACACAAAGATAAAAAAAAACAACAACAACACATTTCAGTGAACTTTTGTGAAAAAGCTCCATTGTCCATACACCTTAGACAGGGAAGCACCATATTTATTTTTGACAGGAATCAATACAGAACTGTGAGGGACTGAAGTACAGTGCCTTTAGTGGACTGTACTGTTGTTTAACAACATATCAATTGTTCGGCTGATAAATGTCTTTCTGAAAAACTTCCAGTAGATAAAAACTTAATAAAATAGTTTTGAATGTGAGTTGGGGACCATGATCAAGGACCTTTATACAATGTGTGCCATAGTAAAGACTGTAAGTCTATTTCTTTTCATCCTTGTTAATTTCAGAATGGCTACAGTAGACTAAGGTGTACTTGTCAATAGTGTAGCAGCTTACAAAGTCATTTTCAATCCAAGCAGCTTTCTGTTAGTCAAACTGGCAAATTAGCATGACCAACATGAACCCCTTGAGAAATCTGCGCTGGCAAATCTGTCACCAGTTGACTTCTGGGGGACCTAAGCAACAATTCGACAGGTGCCCCAGTCATTGTGCTCATAAAAACCCCATAATGACCTTCTTTAAACTACTAAATAAAGACTAACACTGCATAGCCTTCACAGTATGAATTAAAGGGGTCATATATGACGAAGCAAGGTGTACGATGATTGGCCAGCTATACAGTGCGTTGTGATTGGCCGAATACCTCAAGCATGTGACGGAAATGTTACGCCCCTTACCATACTGTGATGCTGTGTCCCGGCCGGAGCAACGAGACAAAAACAATAAAACCCATTATAAACGAGGCATTTGTTGCATCCAGTGGGGACATAATTACTGATTATAATGACTTATACTGTCTTTTTACGCATTGCGTTGCATCGGGCCGCGTAAACATAAAACCATGTTTGCATTTGTGATCAAAGAAATGACAAACAACAAGCGCTACTCTGCACTGCTCAAAACTCACGTTTGAATCATCAGTGGCAAATTCTTTAAATATGAAAAAGTACTTACAGAACTGCCGGCATTGTAGGCTACTCTCCCAGGAAACAGTCCTCCGTAATGCGTTGCACACACACGGATATTTGGTTTGATCTGTTCTGGAACAGTGTTGTAAATACAACTTAACCACTGATTTCTAGTTGTGTCCTCTTTTGGAAGGCCAAACAAAGTATTTTTGATTTCGCAACAAAACACAGCATCTCCACGACATGGTGGCGGCGGCAACAATACTACAGTGAGAATCAAAGTTACGCCTTTTTTCTTTGCGTGAACATTTGGGAGGGCGTTGTGCAAATCTTCCCACACAGTGACGTAGACATGTGGGGGCGTGTTTAAACGAGGCGTTTTAGGAGGGCGTAGACGAGTCTTAACTTTTATAAAGAATATCTCTTTGGGTTTGAGACTTTAGTCCTCGCAACTTTAGTGAAGTGAAGTGACGTGACATGTGGCCAAGTATGGTGACCCATACTCAGAATTAGTGCTCTGCATTTACCCATCCAAAGTGCACACACACAGCAGTGAACACACACACCGTGAACACACACCCGGAGCAGTGGGCAGCCATTTTATGCTGCGGCGCCCAGGGAGCAGTTGGGGTTCGGTGCCTTGCTCAAGGGCACCTCAGTCATGGTATTGAAGGTGGGAGAGAGTGCTGTACATTCACTCCCCCCACCTACAATCCCTGCCGGTACGAGACTC